GAGTGGAATCGTTTTATGGGACCCTAGCAACAATATCCAAGGGGCGGGGCTTACCGCAAAAGTCCGTTGAAAACATGACCCTGGTATCACCATGGTAATGGACCTTTCTGCTAAGCACCGCCCCTTGGATATTGTTGCTAAGGTCCCACAAAAAGTGACAGTGTTAAATCATAGGCGAACACGTGCGTTTGTGGGACAACACGTGTGTTTGTGAGACGCGCGCGTATTCTTAACGCTGTTCTGATTAGTCAGTTGTTAAGTTTGATTGACACTCTGGAAAGGTCTATTAGAAGGAAAGTATCTAAACCACTAAGCTATATAATTTCAATCTTTGTATATTCATATTTTCTTCGAATTTGCAGAATAGGAACGTGGTGGTCCTATTGTATAGTAAGTAAAAATGTAAATATTTATAATTTGATATACAGTATGCTAATAATAGGCCTATATACATTTATATATAGCAGAATATAAGCTTATATACAAGCCTAAACATATGATTTATTATTATATGCATTTTAATGTCATTAAATTTTAGATAGATCAAATATTATTTTGGTAAGTTCATGATTTTTGAATCAGAAAGTGATCTGGGCTTGTTGTTTGAACATGAATACATTTTGCTAGAGTTTACTACTGAGTTGTATCACAGATGAGAGCGAGACCTCGTTCAATATATCATACGTTTTCGACTCGTTATTTATATAATACAAGGGATCGGTAATTTGGAATGGATCAAATCCCTGTTTCGCAAATTCCGACTTCTTGTGTTTGAAGGTGCCAGTCATGTCCATATTGCTGGTAATTCGTATGAATTTTGGACGTGCATATGACGGTAGTTTATCACTGAGATAGGAATAAAGGTTCTTAAAATCTAGCGAATCAACGCCGACTGAGAGGGTTATGGCTGCCATTCCAGCTTTGCCATCTTGACCTGCGATATAAAAAGACAATACAGTATTTTAAAGTCTATCTTCCTGGTCATAGGCCTATATAACATAAGGAGATGGTACACACGTAGTACAAACCTGGTATCGCAACTCCATAGACATTTGCCTCCATGATGCCAGGGAACTCATCTAGAATCTGAGCAACTTCAGTGGTAGCAACGTTTTCCCCTTTCCATCTACAAATTGGAAATGCATCGTCTTGTTATCAGATGCTCTGCAGTAGAACCCCTATTAAGGGAACACCTTCGGTGACAAAAAAGTGTCCCCTTAATAGGGGTGTCCCCTGAATAGTGGTACCTCTAATCAGGGGATACTAATCTATAACGTGAAATTGTCCCCTTAATAGGGGTTTTTGGCATGTTTTCATATAACAATGCCATACATTCTTTATAATTTTATTTTTATTGACAGGCCTATTACAGGCGCAGATCCAGCGGGGAGCCCGTGCCCTCCAACCCGTCGGTAAAGCCGAAAAATAAAAAAGAGGGAGAAAATTGAGTTAAATAGGGGAAAGGGGGAAAAAGTGAGTGAACCCATGAGTTTAGTGACGCTCCAGCAGTGGGAGAAAAGAGAGCTCGATTGTTTACCAATTATTTACACCAGGGAACAGTATCCCTGTTTACACCAACCATGGTGGGGCGGAGGTGAGCGTGGTGGTGTGAATTTCATATTGTGCACCACCCCACCCTCCCTGTCAGAAACTCTCTTGATCCGCCCCTGTATTAGTTACAGTAGAATTAGAACTAATTAATAGCAAAAATTTGCAATGCAAATACAATTCATCTATAATATAAAATAAGCAGAAATGTAAGTAAAATAACAATAGTTTTACAGTATATAATAATAATAATAATTCTGGATTTATATAGCGCCTCACGTTGACACAACCTCGAGACTAATTCCCAGTATTATTAGATGATGCAATGTTAGTACCAAATTCTTTTTTTTATCAATATTGTGCTTTCTATTGAATGGATGTAGCATAAATACAGTAACAACTTGAAATTAAGGGTGCATGTTATTGTA